AAAACAGGCATATACTTGCTATTTGGGGATCCACTGTAGGCACAGGAAGTGAGCAAAACTGAAACATTATTAGCTGTTCGTACTTAAAAAACTATATCGAAGTCGTGCATGCGAATTTAAAAGCTCAGTTTTGCAGCACTGGGATGTCAGGGCTGATAATGTAATGGTTGATTTTGGTAACTAAGGAAATGAAAATATAAGCGCGAAGAAGCTTACACTTAGTCACTAAGTACACAATAAATATGCAGATTGTTTATCAACAGTCAATGCTCGCATACGTCTATGCAGAAATTTCCTTTCAGCTTTTATTATTACAATTTCCTTTTCGAGCAGAGAAACTCAGGCTGGAACGCGCCGGGCGGGTCCATACGATCATGCGCTTTTGCACCGGACTTGAATTACTCAGGTCATTAACTGTATTGCTTTAAAACTACCTTTTGCGGTCACTAGCATAAAGCATAAATTTTGCAAAGTAACTGTACAACTTCCATTTAACAGTCGTCCTTTAAAAGCAACCTATTTGTTCAGCGAAAAATTTTTTCGCCAAGACTTTTAAGTGACAGTATGTAAGAACCACGCATACCTCAGGGATAAATTTGAAACACTTAAGTTGTATTTGGACAGGGAACATTTCCTCAAAATTTCAGCTTTCCAGCTTTTCTGCTTACCGAATTAGCAATTTTCCCGCCAAAACCTTCACACGCCCGTATTTGGGTACTCCACGTGTCTGGAAAGCTGAATTTGAAATTTTTAAATTGCGCGTGGACAGGGAACATCCACCTAAAATTTCAGCCTTCCAGTTCTTGTGGTTACCGAGTTAGTAGTTTTCCTGCAGAAACTTTCATACGCCTTTACGTGGGTACCATGCATAGCTCGGGGCTGAATTTGAAAAATTTGAGTTGTACTTGAATAGGGAACATTATCCCAAAATTTCAGCTTTCTAGCTTTCCTGGTATCCGAGTTAGCAATTTCTCCCCTGAAATTTTCATACACCCTTACATGAGTACCACGCTTACCTGGGGGCTGAATTTGAAATCTTTAGCTAGTACGTGCACAAAGAATGTTTCTACAAAGTTTCAGCCCCTCAGCTTATGTTGTTCCGAGGATCGCTTGCCCGCCAAGAAATTTGCATATTTTTTAAAGCGTCCGTACGCGGCACCCAGGCGTCTGCGGGGATGAAATTAAAACGGGAGGGTCGCGCATGGTATGGGCATATACTCCCACAGTTTCAACCTTCTAGCTTTTCTGGTTCTCGAGTTGAAAGTGGGTGAAAAAAGTGCGAACACACAGACACAGCCTTTTCCAATATGCTTTTTTGCAATTTACATATGTGCAAAAACGCATAAAAATTAGTGTCAAATTTGGTTGTGCAAATTCTGAGGGGATTTAGACAGAGGGAAGCATGACACAAAATTTCTACAAAATTATTTGTTTCAGTCAATAAATTCCCACTTAGCGTCAGTTCAAAGCTGTGTAGGGTAGGCTAACGACGTCTTCCATAAAAGTGTCATTTCGGATGAAACTAACATTTGCTTGACAAATCCAATTTCGTGTCCATATTCTCGCGATGAAAGACAGATGTGTTACTGATCCCTGCAGCTCCAAGATTCTTGTCCTTTGAATGCTAGAGGCCAGATTTTTCAGGGCTAAACTTATCGAGGAAATTACTCACTTTGTAACTTTTCGCCAATCAAATCGCTGCTGCTACGGCCGCTTACACTTTTCCTTGAGCCATCTGATGCGTCATTCGTCCGCTCGGATTTACTCAGTGACTCTGTAACACACTGGATCACTGTGAAGCAAAATCCAGTCAGTTTTTAAACTCAAAGGAAAATTTCTTTTCATTTGATTTTAGGACTAATCCACTGAACTGATACAGAATGATTCTTGTACTAGTAGCGCATCCATCACAATGCTTAAGCGTTTTTGTGATTCGAGTCGTTGAAACGTAATTGGGTGAGCAAACAAATTCAGCAGGCGGTTGTTTGATCGCGCCAGATTTGGATTTATAAGTTATAATGGGGACGTATTCACTCCCTTAACTGACTGGAAAAGTGGCCAGGGAAAGAACAGTGAGGAGAAATTTGTCGAAAAAAATGCACTAACCGGCCACTCGCTGCTTGCCGCTGCAGAGGTTGATCAGTGGAGTGAGATACACCGAGCGTATTTCATCAATGTAACTCTTTGTTATCCACTCCTGAAAATGAAACACAGCAAAGGATCGAAACGCAGTATCTTTTCATTCACCCGGCGCCTGGAATCCAACAGCGCATCTCGTGTACTTCGCTTAACTGAATCTGCTGGCGTAATTTGTTTTGTATGTGGAAATAATTTGTATTTTATTTGTATTGTACAAGATTTCGGTGACATTTGTGTGGGAGGAAATGGTTGTGAGCACTCTCGGGTCGTTGCATCCTAAAAATTTTCTTTAATAGGTGACTCTTTTGGCTTTAACACTCAGTTCATGAGAGATTTTCCAACGTAAATGTAAAATGTTGTCTGTAATGATACAGGAACTACCTGTCTAAATAGGGTTTCTTTCACACAATGATTGCTAAAAGCTTTCTATATGTTGTGTAGCAGAAAACTGTGTGGCATGCGAGCCAGTAATGATCGGGACGCTGATGAGAGAAACGGCCGCGTAGGACGACCTACCTTATTAACAATAAAACAATAACAGTAAAACATT